ACTTCCAGTTTGTCCAGTTTCGAGTTTTTGTCGACACTCGACTGCAAGGATGCCGTTTGCGCGCACAGACGTTTGTAAAAGGTTTCGTACATTCAGTGAGAACTCGTGATTTTTCCTTCCTTTTGCCTCCGCTCGAGAATTCGTAATAACGCCTGTACGTAGGCCAACGCAGCTTTCGAGAGTTGAAAATTTTGCTTTTTAAGCGCAAATAATTTTCACGTCTCGAATATTACATTCCGTTTATGACGGCGCGCACTAGGATTATAAGCCTTCGCTAAACTTGTCCTATAAGCGTAGATAATTTATACATGTTCGATCGCGTCGACGAATCGCATTCCTCGGACATGCCGTTTAGCTTTTCAACGGCTGATACGCTCAGTTTTTTCTTTGGTTTTCAGAAAATGTACGGTAATTCGTGTGGGAAACACAAGCGGACGAGACGAGTCGAGAATTTTATCCGGGCAAGCAGCTTTAAAAGGTAAGCTGTACAATACAGCCACGCAAAGCGCGAGCAAAAACATTACACAATGGCAAAATTAAGATTCACAGCTGCACAGCGCAAAATGTAGTTTTTCTCCTATGTATAGCTCGGTTTCTCCTTGAACGTGATGGCCATGAAGAATTTCCGAATTCAGCTGGTTTTTTACTCGAGCGTAACAACAAGTGGATCGATCGAGTGGAGAAGCGAAGAATCGTGAATAGCTTTTCTTAAACAACACTCATATAATGATCGGCTCGTGCATACATACAAGGTAATACACAGTGGGGGGATATAGTCGCTCAAAGTGCAGACAAAGTGTGAACATGTTTGCGGCGATAAATTTCCATCGCCATGCAAATGAACGCAGTGCTACTCTGTAACAGAGAGCGAGTAGCAGCAGCAGCAGCAGCGCAACACAATACATCAATCAAATTTAATATAACGCTGAATAATTCAACGCATCCTGCGCGCGCGACTACAACACGAAGACACGCCGCATCGTGCCGGATTTCCCAATCTCCTCTCTTAGCGTTATTTTATATTAATATCGCTCCCAGGCTGCATAATAAAGCCGTTATATGCCTACTGCAAAAAATAAGTGCAGAGTATGCTGTGCTTCGAAGCTGCACGTAGAGCTGCGCAGAGGTGCGTACATATAATATAACAGGGTTTTTTTTATAGGGACGAGCGGGCCGCTTCTGCTTGGTAGTAAAATCGTTTCATTGTTAAGACACCTGCACGAGAGACTCGAAGCGGCTAAAAGTGCATGCGAGTGTCTACGTGCTTACGTGTAAATCAAGAAAGGAGCCCGATAATCATTTCATTAGAAGATGAGCCGCCGGCAAATTGGCCGAAATTTCATGCTTAACAGCGCCAAGTGCACAAACAATCGCGTGTTTTGTCTGTGTGTGACAAGCGAGACTACGACTATATGCTTAGACGCGAGTGAGACATTATCTTTTCAACATAGACATAGACGAAAGAGAGCAGTGTGTCACTGAAGCTATTGAAAATAATCATTTGTCTCACGCACGAGACTCGATGGCCTCACTCCTTGGCCCTTTCACGTGGTCTCAAATATCGATCGGCTATTATCTGGTGACACGCACAGTCTCGCTTCTTTCTTCTGCAGATGTGTGCCGTACTGCATCCACGCCAAGAGAGATGCCTTCAACATTTCGGCTTTGCAACAACTAACTAATTCCAGCGTTACGTCAAACTGTCTCGAGACACATTTTTATCGGCGAGATTTTCGGCTCGCACGCGCGCAGCATTCTTTTCCAACACGCAAAGCTAATATCCAACTCGACACATCGAAACAAGCAAAGGGAGGGAGCCGTATCACGCCCTTCCTCGCCCGAATGTATAAATCCTTCCCTGCACCGCTATATAACACTATACAACGTCTCCATTCCATCGGTACTTTTTTTTGCTCGTATCGCGCCCTCTTTTCCAAATCGAAATCGATTTCATATCCACGTGCATACAGTAAGAGAGAGAGGTGTATATATACAGTGCGAGGATATGGCTTACACGGAGAATCCAGGAGAAAGGGATTGCGCCGAAGCTTCTTTTCCCTTTTCCCCTCGGAGTTTCTATGTACACAACTTTTCTCTTACAAGCAACCAATTCTTCTGGAAAATCTATACACACACAGCGGCTCTCAAGTAAAAGAACAACGACCGGGAGGATTTGCTGCATTTTACACTTTATTTCCTATTCGTACTTTACCAGTACGAGCAATTTTATAAAGCAAATTTCATGCGACAATGGATAATAAAATTGATAACGATCTATAAACCTGTCGAAAGCTTAATGTTTAAATAAATAGCCGCAGAGGCTAGTACACAGCGGACATTCATCTGACAGGTACGAAAAAATATGCCCAGGTCCCACGTCAAAAGTCCGATATTTATTGGATGCGTCAATCTCGAACTATCGGCTCAGTATTGTTTATATTTTCGTGAGCGAGAAAAAAATTTGTTTTTCAACGCTTGCACATTGAATTTTCGTAGTTTGCGCGTGTGAATCACTACATGCTTTTTCAAACCTTTCAAAAAGCGACGTAACGCTGCAATGGGCAATTTGAAAGTTCAATTGACGGCTTATAATACTGCGATTTATATAAAAAAGTCGAGCTTTTCTACGTTTGTAGGATCAATCAATGCCGCAAATAGTGAATTTATATTTCATTACTTACGTGGAAATAAAAGCCTGAGCAGATCAAAGATAGATGATGGAATCGAGCAACGAGAACTCGTTTATCAAATTTCGAAATGTGACTAATAGATGCACGTCAAATTCTTGTTTGCACAGAGGAATAAATAAACACCTTTGGGCAAATTATTATCAAGTGGAAGAAATTGCCACAAGAGCTTAATGCATATAGCAGCCCGAGAGAGAGAGAGAGAGAGAGGCAAAAGCGCGTTAAACATGCGGTTGCATAAAAGATGAATCCCCGAGCTTCACCGAGGGAAATTCAAAGGAGAGTCAAGGTGTAGTAATGAACGCGGCGGTGACGACGAGGGTGCGAAGAGAGAAAGGCTTGATTGATGTTCTTATCGTGCGCAGAGTTTATATATAATCAGAGCTTTATGAAGCTCATCATCGTCATCTACGCTGCAGTGCTGCTGTCGATTATAATGACGAAATTTTTTAATCTTCACTCTCCAGGGATTTTTATCGCAACTGTGTGGTTGATTTTAAAAGATTTATACGAAATACGTGAAAAACCATCGTTGCCAAAATATTAGTAAAACCCGTTGTTGAGTTGGCCACATTAAGTTACGTGACGGAAAAAATCTTCTTAACAGCGTAGTAACGGGTAAAGGGAAAAATAAAAAAAACGAGCGATTAAATATAGAAAAAAGTCGATTCATCCGATCGCACGCGAAAGAGCAGTTTTGTGTATTTATAAATCGCATACGCGACGGCCAAGTCCAAGTTATTTTAAGCTCTATACGAGAATACAATTGCATCCGCAAGGATAAAAAGAGGCACAGGGTAACATATGCATCGGAAACCTCGGTCCTCGAGAGTAAAAAGAAGTGAAATAACACGTCAAAAATGAGAAAGAGAGAGGAGAAAGCACGCAAATTTCTAGGAAAACGAACATGACAGCAGCAACAGCAGCAGCAACAGCAGCAGCAGCAGCAGCAGTGGATCGCGTGCTATATGAAGTAACAAAGGAAAAAGCCGCGAAATATCCTTCTAAGCCTATATAACACAAGTAAAAAAGACAGAGGACAAAAAGAGCCAAGCAGTAGATCTGTGATGTTCGAGACGCCAGGCAGCACATAGCACACACATACACGATATCGGCACTTGCAGCTTTATGCAGGAAGTACAAATGCCAAAATAGGCACGAGACTCGGTGTCCTTTTGTCGAGAGATGAAAAAGTGTGCGAGATGACGACGACGATGACCAACAAAAGGTAGGGAGAAAAAAGGAAGATTGAGAAAAAAATGCTGTACGAATAAAGTATACAGAAGAAGAGCCGGAAATTATTTTGTTAAGAGTGCGAGAAATGATTGTGTTTTCTTCTCGTCTTACTGCTTTTGCCTCTTATTTACAGCGGTGTGCTTACGCGTACGAAATTATGTTTGACTTTTCCCCTTATGCTCGGTTATTTATAATAGAAAATCAGTGTCAAAGCCGAAACAATAATGATGTATATCTATCAATTTATTTCGCAAAACAGGGCTTTTCGTACAATTGTTGACGCTGATTTTATTTGTGGGCGACGGCGAAGCCACCAAACAATGGAGCTGCTGTACGAAAAAAAATCGTCCTCGAAAGGCGCGAGATTAGCGCTTAATTTGAAAATTTAACAGGCACGCGGTGAACCAGCGGGTCATATAAAGTTAATTAGATCAAGCAGCTATATATAAACGAAGGAACAACCACGTTTGGTAAAAACCACAAAGTAAAAAAACAAAGAGTCGAATCAGCATTCTATACAAGCATCCCCCTACTCGCCATCGCTGTCTGCGCACTCTGCACACAAACACACACACACACACACACACACACACACATCTTGCCTCGAGCGTTATTTATCTCGCGAAAGAAGAAACGTTTTAATCCGACAGCACTGCACAGATCGAGGGTATAAAAGCGCTCCGAGCTGGCGCTAAGAAGCTCTCGATCTAGTTTAGCGACGTGGAAAATGTCGCCTGGTGTGTATGTGTGTGCGTGTGTGTGGGTATCGAGTGACGTGAACTCTTTTCCCCACAGAGGCGCGTCGTTTCGCATATACGATTGCGAATTTTCGACTATTAGCTATAAAAAAATGGGGATGCTTATCCTCTCGACCATATCGTACCTATATAATATAATGTCAGATAAAAAAGGTAAGCCTCGCCTCGCTGTACGGGGCGAAGTTTGCGCGCCGCGACATCAAATGTTAGATATAACGTTGTGCAGGAGCGAGCGATCGCAAGTCGCACCCTCGAAGGAGATGAGAAAAAAATGTGCGCGCGAGATATTGGTAAGTAGTGGTGGTGAAAAGACACTTACCCCTGAGGGCATCGGCGGTAGTTGCCAGGAGACCGAGTAGACTGCGACTGTGATGATGGATCTGGTCGTAGAAGTCATCCTTGGCTTGTTGGCGCAGATGTTCCTCCGTCTCGTGATCGCAGCAACGCCCACCGCAAATCGCTGCGCATATGAAAATATACAAAAGTCATCGTATTAGCTTAAGTACTGAGCGGAGAAAAATTGGTGAATCGAGCCAAAATCTTTATTTGTCAAGGACAGCAACAACGACAAAAAACACACATAATAAAAAAGACGGTCAGCAGCCGTGGGTAAACACAACAAAAGATCGTGAAAAATTGAAAGAGCTGCGCGCAATGAGCGAGCGTGCCTCCAGATTCATCGTATAATAGTTGTAGTTGTTAAAGGCACTTTGCATGCTCTCTTGTGCCTAACTATAGGTGTGTGTATGTATACCTATATACGCCCGGTGCAAGGATCGAGCAACGAGCCACTTGGCAGTGAGAAGAGAGAGAGCTCGAGGAAGAGCGAAAGAGACAGGGAGATTATAATAACGCAAGGAATGCGCACATCTATAGCGATTCTCGCTTCTTGGCCCTTTCATTTCCTTTCTGGCGTGCGGCATATATGAAGGATTATATACCTATACGTATGCATGTATAGAAGGTACCCCGTGCTACATAAAAGGAGAAACGACGATGATGAAGGCGAGAAAAGGAGGCTTCAACGTCTCCCCGGCTGTGTGTGTGTGTGTATCTGTGGTGCATGTGAGGGCACACATACAAACGTATTTAGGAGCACGTGCCTGTGCGAGAAGAACAAGTGAAACAAGAAGAAGATAGCATTCTTCTTTTTCCTTTTTTCGACTCCACATTATATGTATTGCGCTTGGCTTCCGCAGACTTTCAATTTCTCTGAGTCTATATGGAGGTACTTTAGTTTATATGGTTTATGTATTTTTACGCGTGCATCGTATTTTTTTTTATTTTCATCTTTTTCGGCGTGTTTATTTCGCGTGCGTGGATGTGTGTGTGTGTGTGTATACAAGTCAGTCGCGCCACTCGTGTAATGTTTTTTAATGCGCGTTCGCGCAAGTGTAAAGTACGCCCGCTCTTTTTTTCTCGCCCCATGCGCGAAAACATGATGTATACTGCAGTTGGAGCTGTTGGTGTTGCTAAATTGATTGCGAACACGCCGGGGCTACGGAAACTATTAAATTGCGCAACGCGAGACCCGCGTGTGCATTTAAAAAACGTCAAATGTCAAATGCACGGAGGAATTTTTTTCATAAATGATGGCTCTGTTAACTTTGTTATACAGCTAAATGCCAACCTGCAATGAAGAATATCTACGATCGCGCGATCGTTACTCCATTTCAATCGCCGCTGACGGCTCGCTCGATAACTCCGAACAAATGAAATATAATCTTTTTCTTTTTTTCTCTTAGGAATGCAACAATACAGACACTTTGTCAGAACATCACTTTTAAAGATGTAATTAAAAAAAATTAAACGAAATAAATAACCGTGTGAAAATTTTCCATTATAGGAATTAAATTAAGCTCTTGAATATTCTTTCAATCATTTTAATGAACATAATATTTTCAACCAATTTGGAAAAATATTTTTTGGAGCTTTTCAGAATCAAACACGCCAATAGCTTATTAAAAAGTAATCAATTATACCGATGTTAGACATGCGTTATAGAAGGCTTTAGTTGAAATAAAATCAAATTTTTCTAGGATTATCTAGCTAATAAATTGTTAAAACGGTAAAAGAAAAGTATATCAGAAAACATCTATTCCCAAAACAATTGTTGCCCTCTATTGTTCATAATCAAAAGATTAAAAATTTATTTTTGTATCAATAGCATTGATTTAATAAACATTCGAATTAGCATTAAACTTGTACAATTAAACATTGATTGTATTTTTAATTTAACTTTGAAATTTACACAAAAAATGATTAATCATTTAAAGGAACTTTTTGCAGCTTGAACTCGTTTATTATTAAATATTTAACTACCATTGAACTTCGTGAAGTTAATGTACACGTTTTAAATGGATTTTAAGATGTTTTTATACACCTTTTGCATAATTAGAAGTATTTAAAGCATTTATATCTAAAATTGAAACACGGCTCATTGCGTAACAAATTATAATTTTTCAAAAATATTTACAAAACTCATGTTTTGCAAAACGAACGACAGTTGCGTCATGAGGAGTACGTGTGGGAACGCATACTTTGCCCGAATCGTGTATACTCTTTTTTGCAGTCTGCTTTATCATCTCAGTACATACAGCCACGCAATCTTGTACGTTCGAATCATCCTACAGACCTCGAAAATCAAACTTATCAAAAAATTTACTGCATTTCGTCCCGATAGGTGAGGATCGAATGGTCAATACAATCGACACACATGCACTCGATGTGCATTCTTGCATCAGGATCAATTTTCACACTTTAAGAGAAAAAAAAGGAGCTGCAACCATGTGCGGAGCATCATTGCCCGAGAGGCAGCATTACGTCGAATCGATACTGCGTATCGAAATCATCGTATCACGTAGTGCTGCTCGAGTGCGTGCGCAGTGATATATATAAGGCAATTAATTAAGCTCATTATACAAGAATATCATCCGCTTTATCTCATTCTTCACACAGATGATAATAATAAACGCGCCACTGACTCGGATTACCGTGGCAATTTTCTCTTCAATCATGTACACGATTAGCGATACATATTTGCGCATTGCTTGTGCGAGCTGTCAGTAAAACTCGATCAATTTAAAGGTAAAAATCGGTCGGCGCGCACAATTCGACCAATCGAAGGAGAGAGAATACCATTCATACAATTTCGTATACCCTCGTGTCCGCTTTAAAGTTGGATTTTAATTCAGCATTTGATATTGAAAATTAATTGCCAGCTGCGTGCAGGTCACAAATACTACGGGTATAATATCGTCGTTAAATCTACACGCGAGGCAATTAACGGGCGAGAGGTTCCACACAGGCGTGCGCGCACCTAATTATACGCACGCGGTATGTGTGTACGCGGGATTTTATTTTATATATATATAAAATCGTCTTATTTTTTGTCAAAAAGACAATCCCCGCGCGAGATCGTGTGGATTATATGTATATAAGTAGTGTATACGCGAGCGCAAAAAGTATCGTGCGAAACGACGCTATTTCCTTGGATTTTTATACGATACGTAACGAGTGTATAATTTCGCGCTGTACAGCTGTAGCGTTTCACTTGGCTATCTATTATAGTCGAGTTGCGCCCTCTAATGTCGCCTTATCTCTCGCACACCTCGACTCATCTCAAGTCTTTTTTTACTCGTTTGATTTGTATGTATAAATAATCTGAAGAAAAAAAATACTCGTTTTCGAAATATTTTAGCGCGATATAGCGTGTGCAGTGTAAAACAAGTAAAAACAAACCGCGCATACACACACACACACACACACACGTGCGGTTAAACGCGCTATAAGTACACGTAAGAGAGAAGTAATACCAGACGCGCTGGAGGGTAAAAATAAGTATAGGGGCTCATTATGATAAAAACTCGCTTGTGTGTAAGGAGGGAATTCGATCATCGTTAATACATAGTTCACGCTTTATACGCCGCTGCTGAATTACGAAGGACTCGGCCGCGTAAATTCTTTCGCTTTCACAAAAGCTTTTTTCGTACGAAATTATGCCGTGCCAGTCTTGTTTTTTCTTACTCTTTCAGCTTTTTTTCTTTATTTTGCCTCCTTCAGCACGCGATACATCATGCGCGTGGTGCTTCAAGTGCCAGCGAGCAGTCAACTTATCGATACAGACGTGTTACGAGCGCGTGTAGCGCGACACGATCGATTTCCAAGCACGTATAATCAATCACGCGATTTCCATATCTCTGTACAAGCATACATACAAACTATTGCTAAACTATGGCAATAATTTCCACCCTCGGATAGGTTGCGGTAACAATTTTACAAAAGCAACTTTTCAACTTTTTCTGGATCAAGTGCGTGTGTGTGTGTGTGTATACGTGTGTGCGAGTGTAGCCAGCAGGACGTAATATTGACAGGTGTATAACGAAAAGCTGTAACACTTTTTCAGGTGCCTTGTTGTTGAGCCCCGAGCCTTATAGCTCTACACGCGCTTGACAGGTGTTAAATTTTCAATTTTTTTCCGATAAAATGCGAGTGAGCTTTTTTTTACATACAACTCAAATGGCAATTGGCGCTCACGGTTGCCCTCAATTTTCCTTCGATCAATCTCGGCGAATACGTATTTGTGAAGGATTTATCAATTATACAACTTTTTTGGGTATGAAATCTTGTTATTAAATTTAATTAGCTTCATGTGACGAAGAAAATAGTATAATGATACAGAAGGAGTGGCGGACAACTATTGAAAAAAGTCGCATATATGATTGTGTTAATGAATTATTAATATTTTTCTGTCGTGTTTATTCGTGAACTTTGTTTGATCAGCAAATAAATGTAAAAAACTCGAGGCAGTTGAGATTTTGCTACCGAGCAGCTATTCAGTTTCGTTTGGCAAGTATAATACGGTATTAAAATATACCCTTGAGTTAGTAATTTAAAAGCTTGTATCGAATAGTTAAGGTTTATTGAGCGATTACCGACAAAGAATCTCAATGACGGAGAGAGAGGCACGTACACTGTGAGAAAATGCAAGTACTAGCTTGAGAGCTTTCATTGACGGCGACGACTTTTTGAGCTTTTCAAAGCACGCGCAGATCTTATGTACGCGATGGCGCTCCTCACAAAGACACAATCTCCGAACAATAAGTTGGAGCGTTTCATTCATCAATCCGTATACATGCTGGCTCTCGAAGCATCTCTTCTTCTCATTCATCGTTAATTCGAAGCTCGTCGTTGATTTACCGTGCTATTTTTCCAAGCTCGTCTTAATTGGCGCGCTTTGAGAATAAATGCACGTTCGCTGGCTGCGATTTGCATAATTGTCATTTTGTGCAATGTCTTTCAACGGCACAACAAAGCTTTATGGACGAATGATCGATAAAAAAAAAACAACTCCCTATATTTCAATGAAAAAATTCATGTCGTGTTTCATGCCCCTTGCTATCAGTGCAATACGGTACGGTTCGCGCGAGTGTATAATATACGTCGTGTAAAACTTGCGAT